ATGGAGACAGCAGCAATGGGAGGCCGTACAGGACCCATGAGAGACTCTGGACCTGGCAGAAGCATGAGGAGGCGGTATAGGGGCCCATGGCAGATTAGGGGCCTGGCAGCAGCTATGGGAGGCCCGTAATCTGCCAGCACCCTATGTCAAAAAATTGAACACACCAGCAGTGTGTGTGAGAGATCTGAAAGTGGCACATGGCAGAGTGTGGCGATGGAGACAGCAGCAATGGGAGGCCGTACAGGGACCCTTGAGAGACTCTGGAACCTGGCAGCAGCATGAGGAGGCGGTATAGGGGCCCATGGCAGATTAGGGGCCTGGCAGCAGCTATGGGAGGCCCGTAATCTGCCAGAACCCTATGTCAAAAAATTGAACACACCAGCAGTGTGAGGAGACCTGAAAGTGGCACATGGGCATGAGACACTGTGGACCTGGCAGCAGCGCATGAGGAGGCGGTACAGGGGCCCATGGGCAGATTAGGGGCCTGGCAGCAGCTATGGGAGGCCCGTAATCTGCCAGCACCCTATGACAAAAAATGGAACACACCAGCAGTGTGAGGAGTACCTGAAAGTGGCACATGGCAGAGTGTGGCGATGGAGACAGCAGCAATGGAGAGGCCGTACAGGGCACCCATGACAGACTCTGGAACTTGGCAGCAGCATGAGGAGGCGGGTATAGGGGCCCATGCAGATTAGGGGCCTGGCAGCAGCTATGGGAGGCCCGTAATCTGCCAGCACCCTATAGTCAAAAAAATTGAACACACCAGCAGTGTGTGAGGAGACCTGAAAGTGGCACATGGCAGAGTGGCTGGCGATGGAGACAGCAGCAATGGGAGGCCGTACAGGGACCCATGAGAGACTCTGGACCTGGCAGCAGCATGAGGGAGAGGCGGTAATAGGGGCCCATGGCAGATTAGGGGCCTGGCAGCAGCTATGGAGGCCCATAATCTGCCAGCACCCTATGTCAAAAAAATTGAACACAACGAGCAGTGTGAGGAGACCTGAAAGTGGCACATGGCATGAGACACTGTGGACCTGGCAAGCAGCATGAGGAGGCGGTACAGGGCCCATGGCAGATTAGGGGCCTGGCAGCAGCTATGGAAGGCCCGTAATCTGCCAGCACCCTATGACAAAAAATGGAACACACCAGCAGTGTGAGTAGACCTGAAAGTGGCACATGTTGGGGTGTGGGCATGATTCATGCGCGATTTAGTCAGTTGTGTCAGGAACTGGTGGTTTGAAATCCAGACTAATCCACGCCTGATTCATTTTCACAAACGTGAGTCTCTCCACACTTTGGGTGGACAGTCGTGTCCTCCGCGGAGTTACAATACCTCCTGCCGCACTAAACACGCGCTCCGATGGCCACGCTACTGGCCGGGCATGACAGCCTTTCAAGGCAAATTCAGCTAGTTGGGGCCAAAGGTCAAGTTTCGTTGCCCAGTAGTCAAGGGGATTGTCTACCGCGGTTGGCAGGGTGCTGTCCAAGTAGGCCCAAGCCTGTTGTTTGAGGTCCTGCTCCAGTCCACCTGATGCTGCTGCTGCTGCGGCTGGTTAGTAGTTTCCTCACTGCGCTGGTGAAGAAAGCTACTCATCATCGACTGCAGACTGAGGCAGCCGCTGCTGGTGGAGCTACCACTGCTCCTACCACCCCCACCCCATCCCCTGCTGCCATGGCAGCGGAACGCGAGCGCACAGGGCCCACAGTGTCTGAGGATGGACGTTGACGCACAAAGGCAGAGAGACCAACTGACTACATAGGTGGTTTTTATAGTACGTTATTTTGGCCTCCCTCTCAGCAGGTGTGAAAAAGGCCACCATTTTTGAACGGTAGCGAGGGTCCAACAAGGTGGACAGCCAAAAGTCATCCCTCTGTCTGATGGTTATTATTCGGCTAGTCGCTACGCAAGCAACCGAGCATGCTATGGGCCATTTGTGCCAAGGAATGCAAGGGACTCCCTGCCTCCATCTCCACACAGCATACTGCCACGGTGCGTCTGGGTCCCTCTGTCATCCTCCTCCTCCTCCTCTACCACATGCTCCTGCTCCTCCACTCCTGTCCGCTGAGTTGGAAAAACCACCCATTTCACTCAATAATTCCTGAGCACAAATGTCCTCCTCTACCTCCTCCTCTTCTTCCTGTCCTGCCCCCACAGGGTCATGTGGCGTTGAGATCTGTGCGCCACGTCTACCGCACCCCTGACCAGCCATTGTTAACCAGCATTTGTTCCAGGACGTGCAACAGAGGAATGACGTCGTTCATCCCATAGTCCTGGCGACTCACGAATAGCGTGGCCTCCTCAAAGGGCCTGAGCAAGCGGCAGGTGTCACGCATGAGCTGCCCAATGGCTGACATCGAAGTTACACAGGGGAGTACCTTTATCCGCTTGTAACATCAGGAAATCGGTGATGGCCTTTCGCTGTTCGTAAAGGAGGTCTAACATGTGTAGGGTTGAATTCCACCTTGTTGCAACGTCGCAGATCAGGCGATGCTGTGGAATTCCGTTCTGCCCGCTGCAGCTCAAGGAGGGTGTGCTTTGCGGTGTAGGAATGGCTGAAATGCATGCAAAGTTTACGTGACATTTTAAGGATGTCTTGCAGTGGGATGGTGGATTTTAGGAACCGCTTGACAACCAGATTGAACACGTGAGCCATGCATGGCGCATGGCACAACCTTCCTTGACGCAGAGCAACACCATGTTCTTTCCGTTGTCGGTCAACATGGTTCCGATTTTCAGTTTGCGCGGTTTTTTTTTTGTTTTTTGTTTTTTTTTTTTTTTTTTTTTTTTTATTTTTTTTTTTTTTTTTTTTTTTTTTTTTTTTTTTTTTTTTTTTTTTTTATTTTTCTTTTATTTTTTTGTTTTATTTTTTTTTAATTAAAATTACATCTTTGCGCGGAGACAGCCATCTGTCGATTTCTCTGTTCATTACACTGAGAAGTTCCTCCCCTGTGTGACTACGTTCGCCAAGGCATACCAGGTGCAGCACAGCGTGACACCGTTGCGCCCTGCACATGTGATATGCCCGTCGGGTAATGGGACTTGGCACGGGAGTGGCGGCTGAGGACACGAAGGAAGAAGAGGTGGTAGAGCGGACATCTTTTGTGGACCAAGGACGTGCAAACGTGGAGGCAAAAGCCGGCGTGACCTGTCCAAGTTGCTGGTGCGGCTGTGACGGCACCACGTTCACCCAGGACTAGTGGGCCGTAAATGACATGTACTGTCCCTGACCCGTAGTTACAGCTCCACACGTTCGACGCTGCCGTGCACATTTGGCAGAGACCGACATGCTCAAAGACTGGCCCACCATCTCTTCTACATGTGAACTGCAGGGCTGGCACTGCCTTTTTGCGAAGAAATGACGGCTTGGCACTCTCCACCGCGGCGCGGCACAAGCCATCATTTCTCTCCGAAAGGTGCTGAGTCCACCACTTGGAAAGGGAGGGACTGCAGCACCCAGCAACTTGGGACAGGAGGACGTTCAGCTTTTTGCACCGTCGGGTGCGTGCTCGCAAACTGTTGTCTCTTGGAAACGGATTCCAAGAAAGACTGCTGACGGAATCCGTGAAGAGGAGTAGCAGGAGCATCTGAACGAGCGGAAGATGCCAACGAGCGACAACTCCCCTCAGCAGAGGTGTTGGAGCCTTGACTGGCTGATAGAGGGCGATTGACGTCGGGTGACGGAGCAAGTAACGGAGCGGGTGATGGAGCGGGGGCTGGGGCGGGGCAGAACCGCCGTATCTTTATCACGGTTTTCCCAGGCCACCAAATGGCGACGCTGCATATGCTGCCGCAACGCTGTAGTCCCAACATGGGCCCCCTGGCCACACTTGACCTTTACTGGCCACATAGTCGACATACGGCTACGTTTACTTCCTCGGGCGGCTTGACAAAAAATTGCCACACCGCCGAGTAGGAAACTTTGCCCCCGATACTCCTCACTGGCTGACTGCTGCTTCCTCCGTGCACACCGGCACCACTACTGGCCGTGGTGGTAGGCTGCAGTGGAGCTGGTGCTGTACTCCGTGGCCGTTTGCCTCCACTGACACTGCTGTGACCCTGCTGCCTTCTGGGCAACCCACCGACTGTTTTGCTCGCTGCCAAGCTGCCACCCTCTTCTCCTGATGATGCGGAAGCAATAGCCTGATGACGACGAGGCTGCCAAGTGCGATCAGCCTCATCATCATCATCAATTAGGGTCTTCCGCCTCACTACTAGCCCCCTCGGCTGCGTGTGGGTCAGGAGACAGACCTGTCTCTAGACCGGGCTACCGAGCCACTCTCCCTCGCCACTATTTCTTCGCCTGGCTGCTGAAGAGGCGGATGTCCTCCCCCCCCCCCGTTCCTGACCGCCCTCTGTTTGCTCTTCCTCACTGTACTGTGGGGCTGAGCCCACAGCATGCGATACTTCGCTGGTGAGGGAACACCAAAGGACAGGGGCAGGTAGAGGACACGTGGATTCAAGTGGGCTTGGTCCCGGGCCATGCCAACTAAACGTTGTGTCTGACGTACCCACCGACCCGTTGGCTGTAGGTGTCAGAGGTGACCTGGGAAGAGGAAGACGACCGAGCCAACCAATCGATGACGGCAGGGTTTGTCGGTGGAGACACGACCGCTGGATTGACACCAGGGAGCACTGGCCTCTGGCTGCGAATAGTGCTGCACCTCGACCCCTTCCTCTGCTGCCACGTCTGCTCGCTCCTAAAACATTGCCTCCTCTGCCACTCCTCTCTGCATGTTGTCTGACATACTCTTTAATTTAACGATTCTGTGTCCCTGAGTAACAATTCTGTGTCTGTCCCTGAGTAACAATTCTGTGTCCCTGAGTAACGTTTCTGTGGCCCTAAGTAACAGTTCTGTGGCCCTCAGAGTAACAATTCTGTGTCCCCCTCAGTAACAATTTCTGTGTCCCTCAGTAACAATTCTTTCGGTGTCCTGTCCCTGAGTAACAATTCTGTGTCCCTGAGTAACAATTCTGTGTCCCCTCAGTAACAATTCTGTGTCCCTCAGTAACAATTCTGTGTCCCTCAGTAACAATTGCTGTGTCCCTCATAACAATTCTGTGTCTGTCCCTGAGTAACAATTCTGTGTCCCTAAGTAACGTTTCTGTGGCCCTAAGTAACGGTTCTGTGTCCCTCAGTAACAAATCTGTGTCCCTCAGTAACAATTCTGTGTCCCTCAGTAACAATTCTGTGTCCCTGAGTAACAAATCTGTGTCCCTCAGTAACAATTCTGTGTCCCCTGAGTAACAATTCTGTGTCCCGCAGTAACAATTCTGTGTCCCTCAGTAACAATTCTGTGTCCCTGAGTAACAATTCTGTGTCCCTGAGTAACAATTCCTGTGTCCCTCAGTAACAATTCTGTGTCCCTGAGGTAACAATTCTGTGGTCTGTCCCTGAGTAAACAATTCTGTGTCCCTAAGTAAACGTTTCTGTGGCCCTAAGTAACGGTTCTGTGGCCCTCAGTAACAAATCTGTGTCCCTCAGTAACAATTCTGTGTCTGTCCCTGAGTAGCAATTCTGTGTCCCTAAGGTAACGTTTCTGTGTCCTAAGTAACGTTTCTGTGGCCCTAAGTAACGATTCTGTGGCCCTAAGTAACGATTTCTGTGGCCCTAAGTAACGATTCTGTGGCCCTAAGTAACAGTTTCTGTGGCCCTCAGTAACAGTTCTGTGGCCCTCAGTAACAATTCTGTGGCCCTCAGTAACAATTCTGTGTCTGTCCCTGAGTAACAATTCTGTGTCCCTAAGTAACGTTTCTGTGGGTGGCCCTAAGTAACGGTTCTGTGGCCCTCAGTAACAATTCTGTGTCCCTCAGTAACATTTCTGTGTCTGGCCCTAAGTAAAGTTTCTGTGGCCCTAAGTAACGTTTCTGTGGCCCTAAGTAACGTTTCTGTGGCCCTATCTCAGTAACAATTCTGTATCCCTCAGTAACAATTCTGTGTCTGTCCCTGATAACAATTCTGTGTCCCTAAGTAACAATTCTGTGGCCTAAGTAAAGTTTCTGTGGCCCTAAGTAACGTTTCTGTGGCCCTAAGTAACGATTCTGGGGCCCTAAGTAACGTTTCTGTGGCCCTAAGTAACGTTTCTGTGGCCCTCAGTACAACAAATCTGTGTCCCTCAGTAACAATTCTGTGTCTGTCCCTAAGTAACAATTCTGTGGCCCTAAGTAACGTTTCTGTGGCCCTAAGTAACGTTCTGTGTCCCTCAGTAACAATTCTGTATCCCTCAGTAACAATTCTGTGTCTGTCCCTGAGTAAACATTCTGTGGCCCTAAGTAACGTTTCTGTGGCCCTAAGTAACGTTTCTGTGTCCCTCAGTAACAAATCTGTGTCCCTCAGTAACAATTCTGTGTCTGTCCCTTAAGTAAACAATTCTGTGGCCCTAAGTAACGTTTCTGTGGCCCAAAGTAACGGTTCTGTGGCCCTCAGTAAACAATTCTGTGTCCCTCAATAACAATTCTGTGTCTCTGTCCCTAAGTTAACAATTCTGTGGCCCTAAGTAACGTTTCTGTGGCCCTAAGTAACGATTCTGTGGCCCTCAGTAACAAATCTGTGTCCCTCACTAACAATTCTGTGTCTGTCCCTAAGTAACAATTCCTGTGGCCCTAAGTAACGATTCTGTGGCCCTCAGTAACAAATCTGTGTCCCTCACTCAGTAACAATTCTGTCTGTCCCTAAGTAACAATTCTGTGGCCCTAATAACGATTCTGTGGCCCTCAGTAACAAATCTGTGTCCCTCAGTAACAATTTCTGTGTCCCTCAATAACAATTCTGTGTCTGTCCCTAAGTAACAATTCTGGTGTCCTCAAATAACAATTCTGTGTCCTGTCCCTAAGTAACAATTCTGTTGGACCCTAAGTAACGTTTCTGTGGCCCAAGTAACGATTCTGTGGCCCTCAGTAACAATTCTGTATCCCTCAGTAACAATTCTGTGTCTGTCCCTCAGTAACAATTCTGTGTCCCCTAATGTAACGTTTCTGTGCCCTAACTAACGATTCTGTGGCCCTAAGTAAAAAAAAAAGAAAAAAAAAAAAAAAAAAAAAAAAATCTTTTCTGTGGCCCTAAGTAACGTTTCTGTGGCCCTCAGTAACAAATCTGTGTCCCTCAGTAACAATTCTGTGTCTGTCCCTAAGTAACAATTCTGTGGCCCTAAGTAACGTTTCTGTGGCCCTAAGTAACGGTTCTGTGGCCCTCAGTAACAATTCTGTGTCCCTCAATAACAATTCTGTGTCTGTCCCTAAGTAACAATTCTGTGGCCCTAAGTAACGATTCTGGTGGCCCTCAGTAACAAATCTGTGTCCCTCAGTAACAATTCTGTGTCTGTCCTTAAGTAACAATTCTGTGGCCCTAAAGTAACGTTTCTGTGGCCCTAAGTAACGGTTCTGTGGCCCTCAGTAACAATTCTGTGTCCCTCAATAACAATTATGTTCTGTCCCTAAGTAACAATTCTGTGGCCCTAAGTAACGTTTCTGTGGCCCTAAGTAACGATTCTGTGGGCCCTCAGTAAAAAATCTGTGTCCCTCACTAACAATTCTGTGTCTGTCTTTAAGTAACAATTCTGTGGCCCCTAAGTAACGATTCTGTGGCCCTCAGTAACAAATCTGTGTCCCTCAGTAACAATTCTGTCTGTCCCTAAGTAACAATTCTGTGGCCCTAAGTAACGATTCTGTGGCCCTCAGTAACAAATCTGTGTCCCTCAGTAACAATTCTGTCTGTCCCTAAGTAACAATTCTGTGGCCCTAAGTAACGTTTCTGTGGCCCTAAGTAACGATTCTGTGGCCCTCAGTAACAATTCTGTATCCCTCAGTAACAATTCTGTCTGTCCCTGAGTAACAATTCTGTGTCCCTAAGTAACGTTTCTGTGGCCCTAAGTAACGTTTCTGTGGCCCTAAGTAACGATTCTGTGGCCCTAAGTAACGTTTCTGTGGCCCTTAGTAACAATTCTGTGTCCCTCACAATAACAATTCTGTGTCTGTCCCTAAGTAACAATTCTGTGGCCCTAAGTAACGTTTCTGTGGCCCTAAGTAACGATTCTGTGGCCCTCAGTAACAAATCTGTGTCCCTCACTAACAATTCTGTGTCTGTCCCTAAGTAACAATTCTGTGGCCCTAAGTAACGATTCTGTGGCCCTCAGTAACAAATATGTGCCCCTCAGTAACAATTCTGTGTCTGTCCCTAAGTAACAATTCTGTGGCCCTAAGTAACGTTTCTGTGGCCCTAAGTAACGATTCTGTGGCCCTCAGTAACAAATCTGTGTCCCTCACTAACAATTCTGTGTCTGTCCCTAAGTAACAATTCTGTGGCCCTAAGTAACGTTTCTGTGTGCCCTAACTAACGATTCTGTGGCCCTAAGTAACGTTTCTGTGGCCCTATGCAACGTTTCTATGGCCCTAAGTAACGATTCTGTGGCCCTAACTAACGTTTCTGTGTCCCTAAGTAACGTTTCTCTGTCCCTAACTCTCTCCCTGCATACAGCCAGGTCTGCCTCTGTTGAATGACTGGAGGCAAATGGAGAATTCTAAAATGGCCGCCATTTATAGCTCGACCATTACACTGTGCTGGCTGGCTGGCTGCTGATTGGCTAATGCGATCACATGTCATGAATGAATGCATTATGGGTCAGCGCGCCTTGTCTGCGCGCCTTCCCAGACATCCCCGCTCCGTCGCCGCACATGTCGCCGCCATTTTAGGAAAAATTTCGATTCGCGCATCCGAAGTCTGCCTATTTTCGGATTCGACGCGAATCGAAATTTTTTCCTAATATTCGAAACGAATTCCACTTCGCCTAGTTCGATTCGCTCATCTCTAATTAAGACCATGCTGGTTTGATGTGCAGATGACACTAATGCATGTGGCTCTGTTATTAATCCCACTGAGCACTGACGTTGAGATATCTATTACCCATAGACAGTTGACATGGTCATATTCCAATTTGTTTCCACCTGTCAGTTTTTCAGGCAGACCTGATCCGAAGCTCTATGCAGCCTCATAGAAGGCAAAGTAAATGGACTTGTGTCTGTGACCAGTGACATTTTATACTCCCACTTACCACTTGCAGAACGCTTTCTCCAATGTCAGGGACATTTCTTACTGCTACTGACCACCAAACACTATGTGGGAAATAGAGGGACCCCTAAGGGGGGGTCAGTGGGACTCAGGGATGGCAGAGAGCTGTGGATTAATTATGGTTCACATATGTGTGAGTCAGGAACCTGTGCATAATCCCCAACTTGCACAGAAATGCGCTGCTCTTCAGAAAAATGTGCAATGGTGCCTTTCATGGATTGCACACCCCATTAACACCCATCATACCATAAGAACATACCTAAATAATGAAATAAACACACAACAATGATTGCGGAAAAGTTTAGGTAGCGACCCCTTTATTGGGTTTACATTGATTTTAAATATTAAATTTATTTTAACCTTTAATACCAAACAGAACCGCTGTTAACCATTAACAGACCAACATGCTTAACAGGTTCCCGCCCAGCCTATAGCCAAATGGCTGCCTGCAAAACCCCCTCGTCCCTGCGGGTGGACGCTATATGGTGTCCTTTCGGGCATGTGCAGTTTGCATGCCCGCAGAGCCGCGCAGTGGCGCGATCTGTCACCGGCAGTGTACCTCGGACACGGCCGATTACAGATCTGAGTACCGGCCCCGTTGCCGGTACCATGTGACCTGCTGTGATTGGCATTTGCCATTGAACACCAGAATTGGCAGGTCCACCATTGGCGCCGTGTGCTTTTCACAGATGAGAGCAGGTTCATCCTGAGCGCATGTGACAGACATGAAAGGGTCTGGAGAAGCCGTGGAGAACATTATACTGCCTGTAACATCATTCAACATGACCGTTTTGGTGGTGGGGGCCAGTGATGGTCTGGGGAGGCATATCCATGGAGGGACACACAGACCTCTACAGGCTAGACAATGGCACCCTGACTCCATTACGTATCAGGATGAAATCCTTGGACCCATTGTCAGACCCTTCGCTAGCGCAGTGGGTCCTGGGTTTCTCCTGGAGCACTACAATGCCGGGCCTCATGTGGCCAAACAATCAGAAACAGACTTCATGAGGGTGGCCTGAAGGCCCAACGTCCTCTAGTGGGCCCTGTGCTCACTGCCTTACACCATAGAGCATGATTGCCATTGAACACCAGAATTGGCAGGTCCACCATTGGCGCCCTGTGCTTTTCACAGATGAGAGCAGGTTTACCCTGAGCACATGTGACAGATGTGAAAGGGTCTGGAGAAGCCGTGGAGAACGTTATGCTGCCCGCAACATCGTTCAGCATGATCGTTTTGGTGGTGGGTCAGTGATGGTCTGGGGAGGCATATCCATGGAGGGACACACAGACCTCTACAGGCTAGACAATGGCACCCTGACTCCATTACGTATCGGGATGAAATCCTTGGACCCATTGTCAGACCCTTCGCTAGCGCAGTGGGTCCTGGGTTTCTCCTGGTGCATGACAATGCCCGGCCTCATGTGGTGAGAGTATGCAGGAAGTTCCTGAAGGATGAAGGAATTGATACCACTGAATGTCCCCCACGCTCGCCTGACCTAAATCCAATAGAACACCTCTTGGATATCATGTTTCAGTCCATCTGACGCTGCCAGGTTGCACCTCAGACTGTCCAGGAGCTCAGTGATGCCTTGGTCCAGATCTGGGAGGAAATAACCCAGAACTCTATTCGTTGTCTCATTATGAGCATGCCCTGATGTTGTCAGGCATGCCTACAAGCACATGGGGCCATACAAACTACTGAGTACCATTCTGAGTTGCTGCAATGAAATTTCAGCAAAATGGACTAGCCTGCTGCATCATTTTTTTCACTTCGATTTTCGGGGTGTCTTTGAATTCAGTCCTCTGTAGGTTGATAATTTTCATTTCCATCAAACAATGGGGCATCCTTACATTCCTATCACATTACCCAGTCCATATCAGTACAGATACCCAGCATGATATTTTTTCCCCATTGAGATCTGATGTATTTTCAAAATGTTACTTAAAGTTTTATGAGCAGTGTACTTTTTTTCGCTCTTGGGACATATTGGCATACAGTTTTGACTAATTTGACAGTTATTCCTTCTGCAGAGGAATAACCGTTGAAATTATGTAAAACACAGACTATTGTCTGATATTTAGTTATTATTGGTTTGCTCCAAGGAGCAGGGCCCTCCTAACCCTCTTGTATTGAACTGTATTGTTGCTCTATTGTCTCCCATTATATTGTAAAGCGCTGAGCAAACTGTTGGCACTATATAAATCCTGTATAATAATAATATTTGGTTATTTCGTTGATTATTTTGGTAATGATCGAATTGATTCATCCTATATATATAAACGTAACCTATTGTTTTACGGACAAATTTTGGAACATTTATGCAAATTATCTTGATGTCTATGTGTATCACAATTGGGCTATTATATTATGTGTTGTAGTAGGTGACTTATTATAAATAAATTAATTAATTTGTAGTCCATATTCATACTGATCTAATTCATGTTTTTTAAAGAATTAACTCAGAATTATTAAGTCAGTTAAATTATTTTTATAAAGTATTTTTATATTTGGAGGCACCTTAGCTGACTAAATTAATTGTCCAGGCAGTTCCTGGCGTAATAGTGATGCAGGAAGTTCAGCTTAACAGCAGCTGTCATAGCTGTGCTGATTACGTGGGAAGGTTATACCACTGAGGTCAATTGGTGATGTAAAGGCCTAGCAGTAGATGGAACCCTGTCCCCAATCTACCCAAAATTTAAATAAAAATTTTTGTGTAGCCTTAGACCAGTGTTCTCAACCTTTTTTCGGTCAAGACATCCTTTAAAATTTGGCAGAATCTTGAGGTACCCAATTCTAAAATGTAAAAAACGTAAGCTAATAGTTTTACATAATGGAGCAACATCCACACATGTAGAACACTCAATGTGATTTATTCTTTCAAAGCAAGTACACCCTTGGCACACTGGCACTAACTAGTATTGCAATGTTTCTCCCTCTCACACAGCTAATGTTACCCCAGTGCTGGCAGAGAGTGGCAGGGGAGAAACAAAAAAGAATGCTTTGCAGGCTCCTGATCAACGATGATGTCATTGGATTTTAGGATGCCAGAGGTCAGGTTGTAATGGTGCACAAAGAAAACCTGTGGCTTTTTGTAGTTAAAAAGCAGGCTTCATCCACCCACTGGCTTGTATACAATTTTAGACCAAGTTGGAAAGGCACCCCTGAAACAACTGGGCACCCTAGTTGAAAAAGTCTGCCTTAGACTTTAAAAAGAAGAACATATAATGTTTTGGATTAAGAGATTTATGACCTTTTTAGCTATCATAGTATATAAATTACTATGACATATGGACCCTGATTTACTAAGACGTGAGTCTACAAGCAGACTCTGACCATTCAGGCAGACTCAAATCAATCAAGACCTGTCAGTCTTCTGAGCGGCGTCTAGCAATCTCATTGACGAACGTCTACTTTGCTATTAGTAAATGTGGAATCGCGTCTGGAACATTTTTAGGTGCAATATCGGATATGTTCGCTAGATGGTGCAACGTTTTTGTGTTAGCAAAAGAGAATATTTAGAATGTAGCAAATAGTACACCTATATTAGAATTGTTATTTTTTTTTTTTTTTTGCCGTTTCTCCAAAATGTTCAGGAAACTAATGCATTTACTAATGAATGTCATACATTCTATTTTCAAATGTTAAACATTTTCACACTTATATCTCAAATCCAAATATAATTATATATCTTTCATTCTCTTTAATCACGTAACTATTCTATGTTTAAAGACAAGTGC